GCAAATGAAAGGCTGTTTGAAGAGGAGGAGGGAGGAAAGGGGAGAGCTGCATAAATCCCTGGTGGGGTTTTGGGCTTGACATCAAAACCCCTTAACAGTGTATTACTTCAGCCCCCAATGTGGACAGATGTTGAGCTGTGGCTCAAAGGAAGTCAGAAATCTTTCCTTAGAAAAAATTTGGCCAGGAAACTAAAGAAAATATTGTGAAAGAAAAGGAAATAAAAGCCCACTAAAGAAGATTTATCACTGCCTCAAGCATTTCTGTATCCTCTAGTCTTATGAGGTCTCAGCCTCAGAGGAGAGAGAAAGAGAAACAGCCTGTTGCTGTGTTAATGGGTCACAAATTCAGAGCAGGGACACGTTTGTCCAGTCAGACGATGATGGAAGGAGCCAGCTCACCCAACCAATGACTCCTCCGACCCATGCTAACCCCAAACAGTTTTCAGAGGCCTCTGGCACCAGCCTGCAGCATTCCCTGCAACATCCATCCCATTTACCCTTTTTGTCCACTCACTTTTGCAAGGTTTTTCTGGAACCCTTTGTCAGCAGCAAAACATTTGAGTTCCTAAAAGAGCTTAACATCATCCTGGAGATTCTGCAGCCTATTCCCTTTCCAGTGCCACAAACGAAGGTGCTGAATAAAACCAGACTAAACAGAGATTCTTGGGCAACCCTATTGCTGAATCTCATTTGTCCTTAAAGCCTGTCTGTTAAACCTTGCACTTTGCTACCTACAAGGCAGGAATATCCCTTAGCTAGGTTTCCATCCATGAGAGGATCATTGTTTGAACTCCATGTCAATGTAAATCTTTAAAAGTAATTTTGCCAAAATCTCTTTGTAAGTGTCCTTCTGTTGTCTGTTGGGTTCTCCCTGTCCGTGCACATGTTGATAGTTTCCTGGCATCCCAGAATACTCACAAGGCAGCTTCCCATCTTCAGCAGCTGCATCCGCTGGCTCTTTCCCACCTGTCTGTCTGCTTCTGCTCACTGCTGAAACCCAACCACCCTGGTAGGGATGGAGGTGACACCCCTGCAGCTCCTGGGATGGAGGTGACACCCCTGCAGCTCCTGGGGTCCCCTTCCAGAGCGTGGTTTGTAGGTGGGAGCTATGCCAGCAGCCTGCCAGTCCTCTGGTGCAGTAGCCATTTGTAAAGCCACAGTGGGCTAATCCCTTAACTCACGGGCTACAAGAATGAACTGATATGAGGGTGATACCTGCAGCAGTGAAGACCAACACACAGTTGTGCCTACACTCTCTTGCCATGCCCCATCCTCTTTGGTACCCCATTACATCTTTGCGACGAGTAATGGCTCCTTAGCCAGCTTCTTGCTTCTGATATATTTAAAGAAACTTCTTTAAAAATATCTTTACAAGGAGCTCTTCGTGCTCTTTTTTAGCTCTTTTAATTCTCTGTCTACACTTTACTTGCTGTGTTTTATGGGTTTTCCTTTTCTCCTCATGTGGGAAACCTTTACACTTTTAAAACACTGACCTTCTCCCTGTGATACCTCCTTAACCTTAGCAGTGAGTCAGGCAGGGTGTTTTTTAGGACCTCTTAGTTCTTTCTGAGTTGTGACACATGTTGTACTTGGGCTTTAATAGAGCATTTTTTAATCGCCTCCAGACTGCTTGCAGGCTCCTTGCTTTCTGTCTGTTCCTTTTTGGTTTGTTGTTATTGACTTATCACCTTCTTTTTTCATAGTTCCCTTTCTTGAAATTGCAGAGCCACACGCTGGATTTATTTGGTGTGCTCTCTCCCACTACAGCATTAAATTGGTTGTTCTGTGGTCACTAGCAGAGAACAGCTCTCCTACAAACACCCTGTGAAGCAGGTCCTGTGCACCGCTCCCCACCAACCACAGAGCAGCAGCCCTCCTTGCAGCTTCCAGCACTGCTTGGTCCAGGAGACTCATTATTGTATCCCAAACTACTCTTTCTCTTTCCTGATGGATCACTGGGCTGACTAGTTTCTCTAATCTCATTTTGTATTTGCTGATCATTTCTTTTACCCTGGGGTCAGTAACACAGTCCTGGCCCTATATTTTTCCTATTGGAAGCTGGGGATCTCCTCTCTTGAGAAATCTGCGTTGGTACTGGGGTTGTCATTCAGGGTGACCACAAAGCCTGGCATTATCTCAGTTCTTTTAAACTCCTGGTACAGAGGCAGAAGCACCTCTAAGTTTTGCCCTTGCTTGGTTGTTTAATACTGTTCCTGTGGGTCTGCCAGTACTGTATAAACTCACCTTATTCATTGCAGCTGCATCATTTATTTCCCTGCTGCTCTTACCCTGGATACTGGCCAGATCCTCCTCACAAGGGGTGTAAGTCTGAATTTCTACACCCACTGACTTTCCCTAAGCTTCTTATTTAAACATTCCTTTATGGCTTTTCCATCTTCCAGTGTCACCAGCCCAGCCCTGCTATGATGGAGGTGCAGGACTCCATGACACCAGCTGGCAGGTTTGGGATGGTCTTCCTGGCAGGAATCCCTTCCCAGGTGCATATACCCTCTCATCACAAGGGCTACAAGCGCAGAGGTGGGACTCTGCCCTGCAGCATCCCTGAGGTACTTCCAGCACCTCCTCTCTTATTGCCTCACGTCTGCTGCAAGCACAGACACCCCAACATGGCATGTTCTGTGTGATGAGCTGGGCAGCCCCTTGCAGATTCCTCTTGCTTCATGGGCTGAAGCCGTGGGGTTTGGGAAGCTGCATCCTCATTTTCTGAAGAAAGCAGGAAAGACAGCCCTCCTACCCCAGACTTATTAATCCTCCTTACCACAAGTTAACTTTCAGCTTTCTATACCATCACCCATAGAGCCTAGCAATGTCAGTAACCTCGTTTGCTGTTTCCAGAGCTAACTTGCTCCCCCCAGCACAGCCCCAGGAGCCAGTCAACCCCTTGACCTGAGTCCCCTGGGAGGTCCAAGGGTCTCCATCCTCTCCCCATCCCTTTGCTCCCCAGGGCAGCCCCAGCTTCCTGCCCACCTCCACGCAGGGATGCCCCTGAATTCCCATTCCCATCTCCCTTCTTTCCAGGCTCTATCAAGCCTGGAGGCACAGTATGGGGGGGCAGTGGCACCCCAGATATGTGTGTGTGTGTGTGTGTGTGTGTGTGTGTGTGTGTGTGTGTGTGTGTGTGTGTGTGTGTGTGTGTGTGTGTGTGTGTGTGTGTGTGTGTGTGTGTGTGTGTGTGTGTGTGTGTGTGTGTGTGTGTGTGTGTGTGTGTGTGTGTGTGTGTGTGTGTGTGTGTGTGTGTGTGTGTGTGTGTGTGTCCCTCAGGCTCAGACCTGTGTCAGAGGGTGAGGTGGTCTGGCATTTAGGCCATGGTGGGGGGGTGCTTGTCTGTGTGTCTCCCCAGGGTGACCCCTGGGTGGTGGGGAGGGCCGGCAGCGCACTGCGCGGTGCAGGGGTGCCCCCTCGCGGCGCTCCCGGCGCCGGGAGGACGCTGCTCGCAAACGGAGCCCGTGGTGACAAACTGCCCTTGAGCTCAGCTGCCCCTTCGCGGAACCCCGCCTTCATCCAAACACATACAGGCCTACGTGGAAGCATCCCCCGGCTCCCATCACTCTCAGCCAGGGATCCCCTGGTGAATGTGCGACCCTGCTCATAGTCTAGAGCTATGATCTAGAAGCTGATTTTTAACTTCTGGGACAGCACCAATGCTTTTTCCCCAGTAAATCAGAGTCATCCCTGATACAGCCCAGTATTCATGAGCCTTTTTGCATGATAAGAGCATCTGGTTATCGTTTTATAGCTGTCTTTGTGTGTGTCTTGGGATGGCAACATCTGCAGTGCACGAGAGACTTCAGAAACGCCAAATTCCAGCTGCAGCAGAGGTGGGTGAGGAAGGCTGTGGGTGACCCCCATTACTCACTGGGAGTAGGAAAGCACATGCCAAAAGTGGTTCAGGCAGACACCTGACAGCCACAAGCTGAATTACAGCCAATGGCAGATCATTTCCAGTGCTGAGACAGGGGTTTGGGTGACATGGCCACATCTGTGTGTTTGTCCCTGTAATGCCAACCAGGTAGCCCAGCGTAGCAGTCACTGGTCCCCAGGGAGCTGCATTTTCAGGGGAAAACACTTAAGTTTTGGGACGTGGGTCCTTTGGGGCTTCAAAAGAGGCAAGGCTGGCTGTCCAGCAGGGTATCAGCTCCTCCTCTCTCACAAGGTTTCGGGAGTGAGCGTGGTATTAGTAAGGGTATTTTTTTTATAATGTAGATGTGTCAGGAGGTGTGAATTAATCCAAGAATGTCCAGTTGTAAGAGGCAGAAAACTTGGTGATGTTTTCATGAAGGTACCTTAATGTTGTACACATTTTTGTACTTGTAAACCCTGGTCACGAATGCAAGCTAGGCTCTGTGTGCAAAAGCAGCAACCAAACACGCACGAGATGGACTTCTACTTTTGTGTAGGCACAGGCCTTGGGCAATCAGGTAGGTGAGCTGCTGGATCTCGACTCTTTTGGAAATGGTGAAGCAGCACTCATTCTGCCTCTGCTAAAACAGAGCATTTATCTGCATTAGCTCCCAGCTCAGACTCCAGGCTCCTACATGAAAGTTACAGAGGGTAACAATATTAATGTATGCTGCTGTTTAACGCATTCCTCCTGCAATGCTGTGCCCTCTGTAAAGCATCAAGTATTTCAAAGGATGGGAAAATAATACACCTGGCTCACAAATGAAGTGCACAGATAGAGAGCATTGCCAGCAAAAGTTGTGCTTTAATTCCTGTGTACAAAACCATTAATCCCTTAAATGAGAGGTGATAAAAACCAAAACCATGAAAAATAAAAGATATCAAAGGAAAGACATATCCCCTGCCTGGGACCAACGATTCTTCAAGAGCCCAAAGGAGAGCTATTGGCACGTCCCAAGATCTAAGGCACTGCGGGGAGAACCATCTCTGAGCTGGGGTCACCAGCTAAAGGCCATGGAAAAGAACTGTCCCGATGGCACAGCCTGCTCCTCTCCTCAGGGCGATGCTGCGGGCACGTTTCATGTACTGCTGCCACGTTCCACTCTCTGGTACAGCGCGTGTGTGCAGCTCGCTCCTCTTCCACGCTTCTGCTTCAACATGTTTCCTTCCCACACCCTGCCGGGAATGGTGAAGGTCAGCAGCAGCTTGCAGGGAGCCAGGCAGCAGTCTGCAGCAGCACCCCTCCTGCCTGCTTCCTGTAGGGGTGTGCTCCCTCCCCTTGGCATCATGGCTGTGCAGCTGCACAAACCCCTCTGCTGCAGTGATGCCTCTCCTGCCACCTCCTTCACAACCAAAACTGCACAAACACCTCCTGATCTTCCCTACCCCGTTAAAGCCTTGGCATGGAAACTACTGTGTGAGAGCCTGTGGCCTGTGTTACACCAGGAGATGTCTCTGCCCCAGAGGAGAAGGATCAGTTCAGGATTACTCTATGGTGAAATGACAGGACTATTGTCCCTGCTGCCTTCTCGCTGTCCTGACCTGCCTGCCCCGTGTTCTCATCCTGCTCTCCTCCCCTCAACCACAAGCCCTGGGTTTTAGCCCTTTTTCTCCCGAGTGTCACTAGTGCCCTCCAGCAGCATGGCCACAAGGCTCAGGACAGTGACCTCCTGATGAACTGCACTGCAGCTCTCACACCCCGTCCCATAGCCCTGCTGCAAACTTGAGAGCTTCTCAGCACCAGTGATCAGACTTTGCAACAGCCCTGAGCTGCCCGGTGCCACCGACCTCAGGGACTGCTGGTGGGAAGCTCCCAAAGCCAGTCACACATACCGTTTCCTGGAGAACTGCTGGTCTATCTCCTCTAAGGACTGTCCTTTTGTTTCCGGAACAAAAAGGTAAATGAATATAACAGCCATCACTCCCATCAGTCCATAGAGAAGAAACATCCAAGAGAAACCAATGGCATCTGCAGAGAGACTCAAGCTCATGAAGGGTCTGTCGGAGATGGGTCACATCATGAGATATAAAGGAAACTGCTTGCTTACTTTGAGGGGCATCTTATTTTGAGAAGCCCTCAGCAGGGCAGGGAAGCTCCTTATCTGCAAAGTCTGAACTGGGAATCAGGAAGGGAGAAGGAAGGTTCATGCCAGGCTTTGCCAGTGGCACACAAGAGGAAAGGGGAAGGCAGCCGAGCTCCAGGGCCCAGCAGTGTGCCTCAATTGAGAGATCTGCTAGAAAGGAATGTAAAGCTGCTGGTATGGAAGCTGCAAACTCCACTTTCCTCATACTGCAGTAGTATAGTGCAGCCCAGTGGGCGATGGATGATTCTTATGAAAAGTGACAGGGGCTCAGACTGATGTTGCTGGTCTCTGGTTCCTCTACTCTCAGAGGCATCAGGGTCACACCTATTCAAGTACCAAGTCCCCAGGGTTCAAAATGCCACCTAGTCTCCAAATGGCTTGTGGTAGCTCCCTTCCATAACCAGCTGTGGGAGATGGAGGGATGTGGGATGGACACTTACCAATAAGGTCCAGGAAGGAGAGGCTGATCAGTAAATTAGCAGCCCAGTTAAAGCTGTTACAGAAGGCAAAGGCTCTTCCTCTTATCCCAGCAGGGTAGATCTCACTAAGGACCAGCCAGGTCACTGCATGGATTAGAGAGATCAGAAAGACAAGTGCAAGGGTTAAGCAATTTATTTGGGAAATGGGCAAGGGAGATTTCAGCAGGGGTTTTAAACTGGGCTTCACCCAGCACCCGCTGCTGCTGGTGTCAAACATTCATCAGTCTCAGTGTCAAGTCACAGCAGGGCACTTCAAAACTCCCATGTTTAGAACTCCACAGAGGAATGAAATACCAGTGAATGGGTCCAGGGAGCAAAGAAGGAAGCAGTGGAGTTGATCGTTCCATTCAGGGGTGATAGAAAAGATACGGCATACCTGCAGTCAGGACATGCTCTTTGTAGTGAAAAATGAAATGAGAAAGGGGTACGGTTAGGGAGATGATGCTGTGTATGGGCTAAAATCAGAGCTAAAGCAATACATGTCTTAAAGTAGTCTCTCCTATCCCAGTTATTTTGATTGAAATAATTTACAGGGTCGCTGTCAAACCCATGAAACTTGCTCACTTTTGGTTTTTCTTGTTAGATGCTGTTTCTCCCATCAAAGAGCATTTAAAGCAATAAAAGGCAGAAAACAGTAGAGCTTACATGGAAGTCAGAACTAATCTCTGTTCTCATCTGATGAATTATTATTTCAGAAAAAGACCAACAGATACAGAGAAACTTTCAAAGAGGTCCCACTTCCAGTTCTGCACTGACTTTATCACACAGCTGAAGCTCCTCAGCCCTCTATTTTCCTCCTCACCAGGGTGCCAGGAGGAATGAAAGAGGTAAGTTATTCTAGTGCTGTACCCGCCCTGTAGCTGACAAAGCTGCAATGCTGGAAAATGATTCAGTGGGCAGAAGGGGATGTATTTCCAGTTTCCAGACACTGAGCTGCTTAGTAAAGCAGACACATAATGAATGTTTCAAGCAGACCATAAAGATCAGCCCTAGTTTTACTCTCTGAGTTAGTGCAAGGGTAGATATAAACACCATACTTACTTGGTCCAAATCCAATTGAGAAGGCGCTCACAAAAGCCATCATGCTCAGCAGCGTAATCCAATTTAAGACCATATGTTCTGCCCAGGGAGCACCACCAAACGGAGGGCCTGTGCTTGCCACTGTCTCTCTTTTGGACTGACCTACCAAGCCCCTTTTCCGAGCGAGGGAAGAATCAGGAACAACCTCTTTGCTTCGAGTGCTCATGAAAACGTTTGGAAGGCTCCTTGTGGCAGCGAAACCAGGGTCTGCCTGACTTCTGACAGCATCTAATGCTGGTGGGATGGGTGATACAGCCGACTGGGACACTAGAGGTGTCAGGGGGTGCTGGGTGAGGCTGTGGGATCCATTGGGGTCTGCGGCTGCTTTGCAGTCCCTGGACATGGCCAGTGGAGCAGCGCGGCTGGTGAGGCTGATGGTGGTGACAGAGATGGCCATCACCACGCAGCCAGCCATGAGCAGCACTCTCCTGCCAGCCTTGTCTGCAAAGGCCATTGCGACAAACGTGGCCACCACCTTTATTGCCCCCAGCCCAACAGAGGCCAGGATCGCTGAGGAGTTGCTCTGGAACCCCACTGAGTGGAAGATTTTGGAGGCATAGCCCAGCACATTGGGCTGCCCAGTGAACTGCTGGAAGAGCACCAGTCCCAAGCCCACCAGAGTCCGCCTTCTCATGTTGTCTCTGGTTTTGAAAAGGTCAAGAAATGAGTAATCCTTCTTGTAGGGCTCCCTCTTTCCTGCTGCTTTGTCCTCAACATCCTGCAGTTGAATGAGGCCCTTCTGGCAGTCTGAGTCCCATGAGCTTAATTTAACAGGGTTCACTGGGAGAAAGAGGATGCTGAGGAACTGCATGGTTGTCGGAGCAATGGCCAGTCCAAACATGTACCTCCATCCCTCATCCACATCCGCAAAGATGTAATTCAGTGCATAGGACAGTAGGATGCCTACGGTGATGCCTGCTTCGTAGAGAGACACCAGGAGCCCTCGCTGATGAGCAGCCACCATTTCTGAGACGTAGATGCAGCAGGCCATGGATGAGACAGAGATGGCAAAGCCCACGGTCATGCGCCCAATGACCAGCCCAAGAAATGACCTTGACAGTGTGAGAACAAGGCTGCCAACCAACAGGACCAAATTGCTGACCAGGATTGCTCTCCTCCGTCCATAGCGGTCAATGAGAACCCCCCCAACCAGAGAGGCGAGGAGAGCTCCGATGAGGAGGGCACTCACAAGAACTTCTTGCTTGAAGCAGCTGAGGTGAAAGTCTATCTGCAACTGCAGCAGCGCACCGGAGATAATGCCCAGCTCGTATCCAAATATCAGTCCACCCAGGAGAGAGACCGTTGCAGACAAGAGGAGGACCAGCAGTCCACGACCTGGAAAACAAGCAAGCAATGCCACACTGAGTTTTCTGCTGCTAGCAGGCAAGCTATCAGCACGCACAGCATGGAAAAAGCTCTCCCAGGACACCCAAAGCTTTCCATCTATGAAGCTGTGATGGTAAATTTCCCCACAGGTCACTAAGTCATGTGTAGAGAGGTACTTGCAGATGGTCACACAACCCACCAGGCCTGCACACACTTCCACTAGCTGCAGGGGCACTCATCTGAGAAGCAGAACTATGAAAACAGGACTTTGTTAAGAACATTAAGACTTGTATTTAAGTGGAGGTCAGTGATTTGTAGTGCCTGGAGTTGTACGGGGGGATCCTCTGTGATCTCGCTTTATTCTAACTACAAAACCTCTTCTGGGCAGAAAATGCAGCGTCTATTTTCTGATTCCCAATTGTTCTGCATCATGTTTCAGTGCATGTGGCACCATCAGCTCTCACAGCAGGCTCTGCGTTCTCACCCACCTTGTTGTTAAAAACACTGCTCGCTGAAGTTTATTTCTCCTAGTTAATCTTGCACTCTCAGCATGACTTTGTGGGGGTGGCTCTGATACCTTCATCTCTCCTTTTACAGCACAACAGTGTGTGGGATGCCTGAGCCAGGCACAACCTCCTCAGGCTGGTCCAGACTACAGGACAAACTCCATCATGAGCTGAAAAGCTCACTGTTGCCTGCCCCAAATACAAGAAATGATTCTTTGATTGTGACCTTCCCATATAGCTGAGCATGCAAGTTTGGTAAGTACTTAAGTTTAGCTAAAATAAGAAAAAAAAACAACAGCAAAAGCAAACCAAACCCAAACCATCCCACCCCAAATAACCCGAGAAAACCAAGGTGCTTGCTGCACATGCTTCTTATCCTGGGGAGAGGATGAAAAGGTGACCATGTGCAACCCACCAGTCACATTATGGCAGGGGGGACTGCATACAGTGTGAGAGCTAGCACTGATATAGGGACCTCTGGGACCAGCCGTGACAGGGATGCCCCCCATTAGAATTTTGAAGGCACAGGCAAAATGTGTTAGCTTGTAAGTTTGTGCTGGTTCCCAGCATATAACACTTTGTTCTCACGTTGGCTTTGTTCAAGTAGAAATACTCAAGTGTTTCAGTAGACTGTATGTGGAAAAAACTGTGGACACAACTAGCAGACCATGGAAAACTTTCCTCACCCTGCCTAAGGGCTTTTTTCCCCTCACAAGCTGTGTTTCATAGGAAGTGTCTCTATTCGGCTGTCCTGGGTTCAGCTACAGCAGTCATTTTTTCTCCTTCTTAGTAGCTGGTGCAGTGCTGTGTTTTTGACTTTCAGTCTGGGAACAATGCTGACAACCCCGATGTTTTTAGTTGTTGCTAAGTAATGTCTGCTCTGACCAAGGACTTTCTCAGTCTCATGCTTTGCCAGAGAGGAGGGGAAGCCAGGAGGAAGCAGAGGCAGGACACCTGACCCAAACTGGCCAAAGGGCTATTCCATACCACAGCACGTCATGCCCAGTATGTAAACTGGGGGGAGTTACCCGGAAGGCCCAGATCGCTGCTCGGGTCGGGCTGGGTATCGGTCGGCGGGTGGTGAGCGGTTGTGTCCTTTTCCCTTGTTATTCCTCTTATCATTATTATTGGTAGCAGTAGTGGTTTGTATTATACCTTAGTTACTGGAGAGCTGTTATCTCAACCCGTGGGAGTTACATTCCTCCGATTCTCCTCCCCATCCCTCCGGGAGCGGGGGGAGGAAGGAAAAGGGGGGGAGTGAGCGAGCGGCTGCGTGGTTCCAAGTTGCGGGTTGGGCTTAAACCACGACATCGGCCTTTAATTACAGCTTGTACTAAAGCTTATTTCTCAGCGATGGCTACATTTATATTTGTATTTATTCTGTAACCCTCTGTGTTCCATTTGTGTTACTCACGCCATCCCAGCTACTCACCAGTCCCTCCCATCGCGCTGTGACTACCTGCGCTGCTTTTATCACCTTGTACACATGTTATGCAGATAATTAGGAAAATATTTGCTCACTGAGAACAAAAGGCTTTGCTTAACGTGGGCATGCCATTAGTTTCAAGCCACAAACTTAATTAGATGCAGACAGCTACAGTGATTGCACCGCATTTTGCTGTAGTTCTTCTTAACTTACTGAGCAGTAGTACAACTCGAATGAAAAGCCAGTTTTGTAGATAGTCTGTTCTGATGTAGTTGGGGAACAAGGGGACCCTTCAGGCCATCACATAGGGACAGTTAGTTCAGTGGGTCTCGCACGGAGCTCTGCTGATAGCAAACCGGCCGGAGGGCCGTGCTCCAGGACTCGGCAATGACCGCGCTGCTGACCTGCCTTTTGCACTGCTTCGGGCCCTCTCTGCACACACACCAAGGCCGCTGCCTGGAGCAGAACTCCGCGCGCACGGCTCCCTGCGCGCTCCCGCGGGCAGCCCCCTCTTCCCCGCTCCGCTCCCAGGATGGCCCCCGGGGCTGCGCCGCGGGAAATCACTGCACGTTTTCGGTATGTGCTGCCGAGAGTGCAAAACCAAAGCAGAGCGCTGGGGGGAGGGGGATGCACTTCCAGCCTTCGGGAAAAGTTGGAAACTTTGGGGGGGTGGAACTTTTCCTCGGGGCAGGACGCGCCCGCTC